GCACCTTCGGATGGAGTAAATGTTAATGGTAAGTGATTGTATGTATATGTAGGACTAAATATAACGTTATTTCAAAACCTAAGACTTAATATTTTATTGTTTTCCTTCACAAAAATTGAGTAAAATCGTTTAAATTTTTTGGTTTTACCATTAAGAATACTCCCTCATTGAATAAGCACTATACTAGTGTTACACGTGAATCCCTAAGAGTGTTACTCGTGAATTCCTTCTCATTAAAGCTAATATATTGGTTGTCGACTACTCTCGAATGGCCTGGTACCCATATAATGTAAACCTTACCTTTGAAAAAGTATTCGGTTAAAGCTTTCTTACAATCCAATACGACTTTAACCTTATCACCTGATATCGCCCTAATTGCCTTCTGGATGTCGGTAAATATGTAAACCCCTGTTGGCGCCATATTTATTCTAATCAGTTTACGCATTTCGTTATTGCTCGGACTTCTGCCTGGAAGGTAATATAGAACCCCAGGCCCACTTTCTCCGCCAGTTGAAAGCCATCCGTGTATCATCCTACGGGTATTTGCTCTAATGTTCTATCAGTGTTTCCGATGATTGTGTATGGCCTTCCAATGAGCCCAGTATACATTGAAGACGAGTCCGCTTTTGGCCAGTTCACCTAAAGTTATGAGCAGTTCGGCTGTAAGTGCCGCCTCATATTTCATATATGTTGTGACAATAGGTTGAGGTAGTATTCGTGGATGCTATTAATCGTGGTTGTACCGCGAAATACCATTTTCCTGAAAGTTATATCGTACGTTTCGCTGCACTTACCGGGCACCCGGTCAACATAAAACTAGTTTGGTGTCTCATAATATTTGCATCCAGTCAATTAATTGGAGTATATGTGAATTTTTAACATGCAGTGAAAATCTTTTACAGATGAACTAAAACCAGTACCCATCTGCAAAAGCGCGGGGAAAATATCACCTGTTCCTGTAGCCTCATTAACCATGTCAGTAGTAATAACTATCTCTGTGTTAGCCTAACCTCAATATCAGTTCATTTAAGGTACCCTGGTAGGAGGAAAATAAGAGTCCATTAGGAGATTCATTGTCTCCTCCAGCGTCCTACGAATGTCATCGATCATAGCTTCCGGTGAACATGAGTTCCTAGGAGTCTCGTTTGGCTCTTCGAACTATTTTCTTACTACTATAGTTATTCCAGTATATTGCGGTCTTTTTACGGCCTTTAATTAGTTTGCGGATCTCCCCTGCTATGAAGTTTACTACGATACTCATCCCAGTGCACTGGGGTTTTTGAGGAGTTCTGATCTCCAATGTTACCCAGAGTTTCTCCAGGGAAAATCTTCTCCAGAGAAGAAAACAGAAGTTCTTGTGACATAAGATACATGTCCTCGGGAGAGACCGTGTATCAGCTTTGAAAAGTTGGAATTTTACGTGATTTAATCCAATAACCTTGTTTCTAATCGTCCCAGAACGTTGGTAGCAGTCTCGCTCCGATGTTGGTGTCCTTAATTTGCCTAGTGATAGTATTTTTAATTGGCACCTTCCCAAGAGTGGTTGATTTGCACATAGCTTTAAGGATTTGACCTCCTCAACGTTGCTTGTAGAGGCTAATGATGCTGTGGACACCCAATTTTGGAAGGTCCAGCTGCACTTTTTTCTAGCGAGTTTATGGTAACCTCCTTCCAACAGTCCTTCCAATCTGCAATTTTAAAAATGACATCTTTAGAGCCGAAATAAGCTCTAACTCTGTTCTTGGAAAGACTAGACATGGGGTTTTGGTCGATACCTATTACAAGTGGAGTTCCTTCAGGTTCTTCTTTCCCATTTTCCATACCCAATTCAACATTTTGGCTTCCAAGAATTTCCAATAAGCGCTGATTAGCCAATGATGGCGAGTGCTTTTCGTGAACACCTGCCGTGTTGGTTTATTTCTCGGTGGTCTTTTTCAACCACTGGGTGAGCTTTTGTGACTACTCACCACCGCCCCATTGTGTTTCTGACAATTTACGTACATATATTCCGATCCAGTATAAGTGCACTTTGCTCAAGTACTTGAGCTATCTTCCGTTTACAACCAATCAGATGGTATGGCCTCTGTTCAGTCGGCAACAGCACCTAGAGACGTAACCGGTAGACCGAAGTACGAATCCATCAAATAAGCTTAGACTTTTTTCTTACTCACAAAGAACACACTGTGGTAAATCAGGTATGAACAGAGTTTGCTCTGAACATACATGGACAAGGAAGGAAAATTCAATGGTATCACTTGCATAAAATACCTTTTATCCATCACCATTCAACACTGTACACTTCTCATTCATTCGCATGAGAACAACATACACTGAAAATAATCCATGCTTAACTTTACGAAAAAAAATTTCGTAACTACTTTTTTCGTAATATATACGAAAATTTCGTGTATAATACGAAAGATTGTTTAATCAACCCCTTTTCTAATTTTACGAAAGTACGAAAACCTGTCGTAATATCTTTTTTCGTATATATTAAGAAACTTTGTTTTCTTTTACAAAAATAATTTCGTTAAGGCATGTAATATTTAACGAAAGTAACGAATTTTTTCGTAATAAGATTATTTAGTAATATACAAGAATTATTTTTGATTTCACAAAAAAAAATATTTTGTTACGATTTTTTTTGTTATTTTCGTAATTTTAAGGGAGTTAAATTAAACGTAATTTTGAATTTACAGGAAATTTTTATGTTTTTTTAAAAAAACATAAAAATTTTTTTTTTTTTATTTATTTATTTATTTATTTTATTACCATAACCTAGCCTTTATAAGGCCATAGACGGTTACAAATTTCTACTAAAAAATACAACAAGATTTCCTTATAAAATAAAATACAATATAAAAAAATCTTAAAAATTTAACAATTTTAATTCGCAATCTTTTTCTAAATTTACAATAATTATTTTAAAAGAACTAAAATATTTATGTCTTTAAAAAAATCGTAAAATGAATAATTTTTTTATTTCTAAAATTATATAAAATTATTTTGCATTTTACTAAAATATTTCGTACAATTTCGTATATATTACGAAAGAATTTCGTGGTGCGAAACCACGAAGCATTTCGTACAATGTACAACATTTTTCGTGTATATTAGGCATGGATTATTTTCAGTGTACGACAGACTCACTCTAGGTATACGAGCGGATGAGATCCGTATACCCCTACATTCATTCTGTATCATATACATTTAACACCAACTCATTTCCAACGCTTAGTCCCACAGTAACTCCTCTGTTGGCTATCTATTGTCATTTGGCAACAACACCCAACTTATCCCGAAATATAGATTTCACCGTGCATCAGTCTTTTAACCACCGCCAACTTACCTGCCTGGACAAGACCTGTGGCCAACTGGCCGCCCGTAGTACCAGATTATGTGGTTCTCTGGTTCGACCCCATGTCAAATCATTCCAAGGAAATTCCGAGGAGTGAATTGACATTATCAATTTATAGTCCCGGCAGACTAGAGGTACTGGTAGCACCTTTATACCCCAGGATTGCAATACAGCAAGATGAGGGTCTTTCATCAAGGAAACATGTCCCGGTTGAGCGATGATTACCCAGTTTACTGCCACATCCTTTTATGTAGACAGTAGACTTCAACAGCACCGTAAGATCCCTCTTCTTGACCAGTCCCAGTTCAGCGTACCAGCATATTGGTGAGATGCCAACCTCATCAACATCACACCCATGCTGAACTCCCATCTCACGCTTTCTATGGATTGTTTGTCCATGAAGCGATTGCGTGGTCCACAATCTTATTGTTGACCAGATTTTTTACCTTCCTCTATCTGGCCTATATAAATTTTGCCTGTCAAATTACCTGTATGGTACATAGAATAGCAGATATCGTCCCGGTATCTTCTCTTGCAAAATTGGCGTCAGATGGCGGCTCTTTTCCTTTTTCGGCGTCTTCTCCCCGTTTTTCGGGGCTTCTTTTGAGACATCTTCACTTTCGGGGTTGATTGCGTCATTGGAATATCTGGCATTACTCGCAGGATTTTCACTTGAAATTCCCTTGAATGAGGGTATATCTTGGTTTATTCTTAGTTGTCAACTCTTCTAAAAAACTAATCCTCTTTGCCTTAGATAGTGAGACAATTCGATTTTTTCTTTGGATTGTCGTGCCATTGACTCACTACGATTTCCTGAAGCATCTTCTTCAAATTCCTTCTCTGTGTTCCAAAAAGCAGTTTTTTAGCCTCCTTCAACATTTGCTCTATTTCATCCGTTTTGGGATTTGCTATGATGGTTTCTTATTGTCATTTCACGAACACTCGATTATGTATGGAAACTGAACTACAATTGCGTTGCCAGCTTCAAAATAAGAGAGTGTTTTAAGTCTAGAAATGGCTCAAACAACTAAAAACTCATTGGACGAAAAAATTCATTATTTATAAAATGTCCAAGTTATTGCTTAAAAAACCACACATTTTGGCAACTGGCAACGCAACTGAAGTGGCAACCGAGATACATAATCGACCCACGAGTTTCTGAACATCGGACGATAATATTTTCATATATCACTATATAAGGTTTTTTAACAGCAAACATTGGCCTAGGTGCATTTCTTCGGATTTGATGTGTGTAGTATACATTCTCCTGTCAAGCTCACCTAACGTATTACTTTTCCAAGGGCTACTACTTATAACATTTATAGAAAAAATAATATGATAAAATTAAAAAAATTGTGTAAAAGTGTATAAATAATTATTTTTTCATTGAATGATTTGAATATAAATAATTTATTTTTAAGCTCCGCTAAAAAATAAAAATACATAACTTTATTTAAATATAAATGTATATATACTTAAGTAAAAAAATAAAACATATATTACTTGAATTATTTTTTTTATTGATTTTCTTTTAAGGTTTTTACAAAGTACGTGGTATTGATATATTTAACAACACCAGTTTGTTTTCAAATCAAGTACAGTACATTGAAATCAAATAATTCAACAATTCTAATGGAATAAATTAAGAGATTAACCAAATAAATATTTAAGTTCATTTAGTAGTAAATATCTGATTTTAGCTTTAATATAATTAAATTACAAGCAATAAAATAAAAATACGCATTTGTAACACAATTTTTAACACTTTTGAAGAGTTATTAAAACCAATACATGTAGTAGAAGTCTATATAATATTCAGACAACTTTATACAATATATAATTCGTAAAAGCAAGAACACCGTTTTTTTAAGATTTGTTCAATAAATAAAATATTTCTTATATTCTAAGATAAATATATAATTTCGTTCTTTTATTTATAAATCCAATTTCATTCAGGTGTCAATTACCAGCCATTTTTCGTTAATATGTTCCATTTGTTTAGTTAATATGGGATTACGAACTCGTAATTTAATTTCCAATTTACCGCCAACTTTTTTACGCCCCTCAACAAGCTGTAAATGCAATTACAATTTATTTTTAACAATTTCCTAGGTTTATTAGCTTTTGTTACATTTTTAACTTACATCAAATGTATCGTGTATATCACATTTTGTCTCTAGTGGCTGCAATTTGACATTAACGGTTCCGATGAGTGTGTCCGAACGTAAAAATCCTCTGAAACAACATATGGGCAGTATTCGACTTAATCCACAACAATATAAACTGCATCTAATATGTATATAGTACAATTTGTTTTATGTATATATATGATTCTAGCCCCATTTATATGATAAACAAATAATAATGCATAGATAAATAAATTATAGTGCTCAAAGTGGCCTTGTTTAATAAAGTCGTAATATGTGAAATGTGTGCTTGTGTTATACTTGCTTGGGCACTCCATTATTCCGATTTAGTCTTGCTGACCAGATAAATTTAATCTCCAATATTAGAGTAAAAATTGTGATATTGTACGTGCAATCAAACCCACTGGATATTTAATAATAAAGTCTATTATTCTGAAAAACTACTATTCTTACACGTAAATTTATGGTGGTTACTGCGTTCCAGGAAGCGAAGATCACCCTTATAATTAAACTCGTAGAAGCTGATTATTTCTTGAACGGATAATGATAATAAAATAACTTGCTCAAACTTACGCTCAATCAAGAGAATCGTTAATTAATATTTATTTAATTTGAAAAATGTCACTACCACTACCCAACCCTACTACATTGTCCCACGACAATCGGTTCTTCGCACCGGAACGACTCGGAGTTCAACGAACAACGACCAAGGATTGTCAACTCAGCCACACCGACTTTACACGTGTCGCTGCTACAACAACAACAACAACTACATAAAATGGTAATAAACTAACCAATAAAACAGTTTAATATTGATACTTTAAAAGTTCCGGGATATTTCCATCCCAAATCTATAATGAAAGAAGCTTCAAGCAAATCTGTTTTAGCCTACTTACAGTAAGCATGTATTTTTATGTTAACAAAGTGCTTGAATTGTAATGCCCTTTGTTTTCTTATTGACAAATGGTAACATTAAGATTTTTATTAAACAATTTCGAACCTAAAAAAACAATGAAATACATATTACCAATGAATGAATCATGTCTGCGGGTTTTCAGATGCCATAATGAATATGTGTACATACAAATAATAAAACAAACGTTGCAGATACTACATACATATAGTACATAAAGTATATTATAAAGTGTTTATAATATACACAAATACTTATTTCTTATACTACAACTTACCCTCTTGAATAAACCTCAAATTTAACACCATGTCTTTTGAAAATACGTTGGAATTGTCTGTTGCCTCGCATAATATCAACTTTAAAATGTTGATCATAATCAGGACTGTCGGTGTCTTTAATCAAATTGGTTTTTGTTTTGAACGTTTCATCCTGAAAGATAAATTTCATGTTTTTTAATTTTAAGAACTTTATAATATTGTTATTACTTACATTAAGCAGTGGAAACTCAATTTTAACGTAGGTATCGACTTCCTTTGGATTAGGAACATTATAATTTATACCACGTACGACAATAATTTCTAATTCATTATCAGTTAAGTCGGTATTACAATGTACTATATTAAAACTACGTTTTTCGTAGTGGAATTTTGGCAGTGGGAAATTTTTACGCTTCGAATAACGTACTAGATCTAAATCTTTCTGAACAGTTAATGCCAAATTTTCAAAACGATTCATGCCAGCAATATCACCCATAGCTTTGTGATGATCTCTAAAGTACAATTATGTTTGCATTTTAAAAGTGAACACTCTTGGAATTTCTTGCTACTTACCTTGTATTTTTACACATCATCAACTGCTTAGCTAATTGTTCTTCGATCCGAATACCTATATCAGAAATATCGTCATCTGGATCACATTCATCTGTTGTTATTATAGCGAATGAAGCCTCGAGATTATCTCTTTGCGACGGAGGCACTGGCAACTAAAAAAGTTGATATTAATATGTTATTTCTAAAAACGAAGTTAATAAACTTTTATCAGGTGGAATTTTGTGAATAAAAATATTTTTGGAAGTTTTTTTTCATGGTATAAAGAAAACATTATTTTTCTACTATGTTTTTTTTTAATTCTATGTTGGATCTAAATTTGCTACAAAATTTTTAACTAAGTCTCTAATCCGAATATGCTGAAATTTTTAAAGCTATAAAAAGATGAAATTTTTCACATTTTTCATTTCGAATTTAAAAATTTTGATAATTTTTAAAATTTAATTTTTAACGTTTTCGAAAATCCGAATAGAATATGTCGATAGTCTCTATCTAAAATAATACTAGTTTTCAGGAGAGCAATAAAACTGCTTATTCGTGATTATTATTTTTACGACCATATTCTAAATCCTTATATAAAAAGAATTTAAAATTTTGCATTATTTGCAAAATTATTCACAAATTTATAAAGGAAAACTTGTTTACAACCTACAGATAGAGTTTTTCATAGAAATATAAATTTTGTATTATATTAAATATCAATAAATATTATATTTTATGCAATTTAATAAAATAATATAAAATTTAATGAAATAAAAAAAATAATATAAAAAATAGCAGACTATAAGGTTTTGGTCCAAAATCAATGGTTAAACATAGTATCAACATAATGAGCGATATCTCGAAAAATATTAAACCGATTTTAAATATTGTGGCGATTTGTGTTCAGCATGTCCAAATTAGTAAAAACACTAGTTATGCAAGAGAAAATTATCCAAAATAATAGAGTTTAAAGCAATTTTTGGATAAGATAGAGAGTTTTGCATTCAGAATTTTTCTTTTTTTAAGATAAAGAAATTTAAAAATTGCTATAAAATTGCCAAAAAATATTTTTTTTTTCTTTTGAAATTTATGTCACTGATGCGGGATAGTTCGCTTGATATTTTGCCATCAAAATCTTATTTTCATGAAAATGACAGATAGAGACTATTGAATATAGTCCCTCGATGTATTTATCTTAAAATTAAATTTAGTTTTTGGAAAAGGTTTTTTTAAAATAAAAAAATTTTTACTTACAGTATTTAAATCTACTGGTAAGCCACTACTGGCAGCATTTAATAAAGCATCAAAACCTTTGTAGATTTTCAAGTATTCTTTGGCCTGATCGATTTCTCCAGCCTTTTTGGCTTCTATAGCAGCTAACTTAAATTCCTTTTGACGTTCTAGCAAAATTTTCATTTGATGCTCGGCCAAATTGTTTTTCTGTTGATTTCCCGATGTACGTGTCGTTAGATCAATATGTTGGGGCGGAGTCGATGGCTTTTTTGCAGTCGCAGTTGGTGAAGGTTCTGGTGTCGATGCAGTAGTTGAAACGGTAGGTGGACTTGGTGGCACTGAATCAACCTTTGGTGTCGGCGGAGCAGCTGCATTTTCTACAGGCAAAGGCCCAAAACCAGGAGGGACTGGTAGTTCATCGTAGGCTACTGGTCGTCCAGCCTTATAGGCTTTAATTGCATCTTCATATTGTTTAACTATGCGTCCAAATCTTCTTGCTTTACTGGCATTACCCTCAGCTTTTGCTGACTCTTCGACTGATTTATATTTAGCTAGACGCTGCTGTAAAGCTTCCAACATATTTGTGGCAGTACTAAGACTCGGTTCTACAACAGATACAGATTCGGTGACGGGCGCTGCCGGTGACATCGGCAATGGATCTGCTGGTTGTTCAGATGCAGCTTGCATTTTTTCCATAAATTCTTTAAATTGTTCAGGTGGTGGTGGCATATCACTTAGATCAACTTCTTGACCATCTTCACACATCTTTACAACAACATCAAATTGTTTGACAACTTTCAAGAATTGCAATGCCATGGCTGTATCTCCAGCACGCTTGGATTGTAAGGCCGCTGCTTTGTATTCTTGCTGGCGTGATCGCATTTGTTGGACTAAAGGATGAATCTGCGAAGTTTGAGGCGCTATATCGTTTTCATTTGGCTTGGTTTCTTCCTGACTCTGGGCTGGAGGCAATGGAGCTTGTCTTGTAGGTACTTTAGGAGGTTCTTCGACGACAGGAGTGGGATTACTATCTGAACCCGAATTACTATTAGCTGCTGGCTTTACACTAACCTCCGGAGGTATATCGTCAGGATTTATGGCTTTACCTGAATTAGCTTGTCGTAGAAGATCATTTAGAGTTTTGAGACCACGATTAAACCTTCGCATTTTAGCACTTTCTCCAGCAGCTTTAGCATTAGCTTCAGCGATTTTGTACATTTCAATACGCTGCTTAATTATATCAACGGTGCTTATGTCGGTTGTAGGCAAAAATATTTCTGGCTTACTTTCTGGTTCCATCGGACTAGTCTCTGTAGGATCTTCTTCAACATTTCCGTCTTCCAAATCTTCGCCAACAATTCCTTGCAACTCCCCTAAGAGATCGGTGTCATTTTCAGTATCTTCATCGTCTTCATCATCACTTCCTATATCTTTTAAACTATCTGCTATCATTTTATCCAATTCATTAGCTGGTAAAAGATTTGGTTTTTGTTTGGGTTTTGGTTTTGTTTTGTTACCTCCCCCAGCAATGGCAGCTAATTCTGCTTCTAAATCACTATCATTAGCATCATGATCCCCTCCGTCAAAGCCTAAGCTAGGATCAAAATCATCTGGTATATCCGTAAGACCGAACTAAATAATATAAAATATAAAAAATGAGTCATTCATCTATTTTTCTTTGATAGCATCATCATTGATGCTCATTAAATCAATAAATTACTTTTATTTCTTTATTATTACCTGTGATAAATTATGATTTCTTCTCTTAGCAGGCTCTGACTTTTTTCGTGAAAACATTTTATTTTTTTTTTTTTTTTTTTTTTTTGTCGATTTTGGGATTACTCCGTGCCCCCTTAAAAAAAAACAAGGGATGGGAGATTTACTTGGCTGGTCCAAAGGGATAAAACGCCACCAACAATTTAAATCTAAAGTTCTCTAAAGTTTAATATTAGCCTCCTTAATAAAGTCCGTAATGAAATGATAATTCTCAATAGGTTCCTTCCTGAAAAATGACGTGGTATTATCATACTGCTCTAATACCGGATACCTCAAGCGGATGTGGTTGTATTTGGTACATTCGAATATGATATGTGAGTCGTCGTCAACTTCATTGCACAGAAGGCAAGTGTCATCATCCAAAACATGTAATCTAGCCAAAGTATGTGGACTGAAGGAATGGCCTGAGAGTATTCTGTTCAACTGTCTTATCTGAATAGCATTCATCCCCAAGGAGTTATGGTTGAACCAAGGTTTCCTAAGGAGACTTGGGAATATTTTTCCGAATTCCCGACCTTTCGTACGACTTAGATCAACATATTCTCTCTCCCACTCATCATGTAGTCTCCTTTCGATCTCCCTTATAGCTTCGTCTTTAGACCATTTTATTTGCAATGTCAGGCCATCTTGAGTGGCCTTTTTAGCTTCTTCATCAACACGTTCGTTCTCGAATATTCCCCTATGCGAAGGGATATAATGAAACTCAACAGTGGAAAGTGTAGGGCTGGAATCTATCAAATCATGAATTCTGGAACATGCCGCATTTGAAACACCGTTTTTCAAGGCCAGAACACCACTTTTGCTGTCAGTAAGTATCGCCAATTTCAGAAAGTTCATCTCCTTTGCAAATTCTACCGCCTTTTCCATTATGTGCAATTCCACCGACATGGATGACACTGTTTTCGACAATTTAAATCTCCTTACAGTGTTAGACCTTGGATGAAAGAAGGCTCCACCAGCTTGGTTCTCCATTATGGAACCATCAGTATATACCAGCTCCAAATTCCTGCTCATGATGTCGTTTTTTTTACTGAGAAATATTTGATTCACCTCCTGAGGATTCAGGTTCGCCTTGTTGCTATGATAGAAGTTTTCATATGTTCGCACTTTTCGGGATTCCACTGTAGAAGTACGTATTTGTTCCACGTCCAAGAGTACATTCTTGAATTTATCAAACATCTTGTAATAACTCGTGTCCAAAGGTTTCTCCAAGGTTGGGAGCAATTTTGCCAAAGGCATTTCCAAATGGAATAGTTTCACCAGATCTTTCCCTGCTGCCAGTTGAATTCTATATTTAGGGGGCAATTCGGCCGCTAGATGATATAAGACATGTACCGGGGTGGATTTCATAAGACCCAGGGCCCTTCTAACGTGGAAATTCGATTGAGTCTGAAATTTAGCCAGGGCTCTTCCGGAAAGGTTCGCAAAAGATGACGCAGCATATTCCAATTGTGATCGGGCATAAACTCTATAAAACTGGATGGCCCTTGCCGGATGTATTCCATAAAGGCAACCACTTGTCGTATTCAAAAACCTGCAAGTCCGGTTTATTTTCGATATTGCCTGCGTCACATGAGATAGTGAAGAATTATTCGCCGAGACTATCCTGCCAAGATATTTGATCTCCTTTACTTCCGTTAACATTCTACCATTGAAATTGAGATTAATTTGAGAACTCCTTCTACCAAATGATGTCACCGTGGTCTTGTCGTAGTTTATATTAAGGTCCAATTGTTCACAATCGTAAATGAATTCACCAAATTTGCGTTCCAGGATGTCCAACGCCTCATCCCAAGTTTCATCAAATGCAAGAATGAAAAAATCGTCCGCAAACTGAAAAATATACGTGTTTTCATCCTCTATGTTGTGAAGTGATGCCGTGTACAAATTGAACAGTATTGGGCTCAAGCCGCTGCCCTGAGCCAGTCCACGATTAGTCTTAGTTTTCGCATCGTGAAGATGAAGTGTACGGTCTTGGAGATATGATGTTAGCCACAGTACCAATTTACGATTAAAACCCATCTCCATCAATTTGGCTCCTAAGGTGTTCACGTTCACATGGTCATACGCTTTTTCTATATCAATACAAATCGCCACTACTTTCCGTTTTTCAGTTCTGAGGTATTGAACTGTATTTATCAAATCGTTAATGCATTGCGTCGTGCTCATATTCTTGCGGAAAGCAAAAGACCTTTCGGGTATGATCTTCCTGGAATTTGCGAATTGCTCCATATGTGGTTTCAACATACCCTCTATGCACTTGAGAAGTACTGGCAGAAGACATATCGGTCTATAATCAGTAATATCCACCGAATCTTCACGTTTAGGGATGGGGTGAACTTTTATATGTCTCCAGATATCAGGAATGTTACCAGAGATCCATATTCTGTTGAGCACTGCAAACAATTTCTTCCTGCCGCTATCCGAAAGATTTAAAAGCATTCTGTAAGTTATTCCATCAGCTCCGCCTGCAGAGTCAGGCTTACGAGAACTTAAAAAATCTTCGAAATCACTCAGATTCAAATTGATATCCTCCATTTGCACTAGTGGGTAATCTGATGGCACAAAGTTACTCGAGTCCGTGCAGGAGGTCATGTTATTCAAAAATTGAGTATTTTGCTGAGAGCTCCAGCTGTTATTCACCTTTTTTACTCGGTCATATTTCTTCAGGTTGTTCATCTGTCTCCACATCTTCTCCTGAGTTTCCGGATTAGACAATTCTTCCTGCAGTTTCCTAAAATGCTCGTGTTTCCTCTTCCTAATATGTTTCTGGAAGTTCTCATCCGCCTCAACAGCTATTATATTATTCTGCCATGATTTGTATCTGTCATTTTTCAGCCTGGCCGCATTTCTGATTCTGAAGAGCTTCTCAGATTCTTTATCCCACCAAGCCTTTGCCTTATAATGGTTTTCCCCATTAAGCGTCACAGTGCATGATTGGATAGCCTCCCTGAACTTACAGTTTATGCTCACAATATCATCTTCAATCTCCATTTTCCCTAGAGTATCAATAAGTTTGTTCCGAATTAGTTTACGCCTACTGCCACTGGGTCTGTTGTCAGGCTTCCATTCAAAGTTTATAGGTTTGTGATTGCTTCCCGTAATCCTTAGATCCAAAGTTCTCCATTGTATTAATCTATTGTTACTCCTGACCAGTGTTAAATCAATTGCAGATTCCCCGGATGGTCCTACAAAAGTCTTGGAGCCGTCATTCAGAACTGTGTAACCATAATTTCGTACTAAATTGTCAAGAGAGGCTCCCCTTCTGTCGGTATTCATATTTCCCCAAGAGGTTGACTTGGCGTTGAAGTCGCCACATACAAATGTAGTCAAGCGCGAATCTTCAAAAAAGGCCATGCTCCTCTCCACAATGTCCCCGAAATGTTTCACATTCACATCCGGTGGGCAGTAAATACCAGTAATATTAAAATTAAATGGAAGATTCAAAGTCGATATTGATATTACCTCACCATCCGTGTCAATTCTATTAATCATGAATCTTATATTCTTCCTCAGGTAAATGCCAACGCCTCCATATCCATCATTCCGAAAATTACCAATAAAGTTGTAGTTCAGTAAATTGGTACTTCTATTATCCTTCAACCAGATCTCATATAATACTGCACATTCAATGTTATTCTTCTCCATATATAATTCAATCAGTTCCTTGTTACCTTTCTTCCCCAAACTCTGTATATTATACTGTAAAAATTTCATAATGTACTAGTAATTCTTTGCAATCGCACCACTTGTGGATGCGATTATTTCATCTCTGTCCTTAGTTATTAGCGCTCTGTCTAAAGCTCTTGCAATTTCACCTACGAATCTTCTGTCATTGCTTGAAAGCGAGTCATCTCCCCATTTACTGAAGAATGAGTTCGCCAAGGTTTTTAATTGGGTAGCTAGTCTTTCCACCTCTGTAACCGAGTGGGGGTTTTCAATATCTCTCTTCTCCTGTAATACTATTTGGTTCTCTCTGTTAAGTTGTCTCCATTGATCCATATCTTTTCTTGCTCTCTCTTCCTCTCTAATCCTGTTGGGGTTTGATTTGGTAACTTTCGCAAATGATTGGTTTCTATGTACGTGTCTCGCTGCTTCAATAGAGTTATCAATGATCTTATCCGGTCTGGTGCGTAATTGAGGGAAATTCACCTCAACACCGTCATCACCTAATATTTCAAATCTGTTTCCACCTATGATACCAGCATATTTAGTTCTAGCCTCTCTGATGCTCAAGTTCTCCAGAATCATAATTCTCTTCAGATTCAACGCTTTCTCCCGAGCCGGACAATTGCGGTCGGTGGGTGGGTGCAAGTTCTTACAATTTGTACAAGTTATCATTCCCGTATCACAATCAGAATTCAAAGTGTGTTTAGTAAAGCATTTGCCACATGTCTTCTCCTTCTGCTTACAGTTGTCCGCCATATGGTTAAATTTAAAACAGTTGTAACACTGTCCGAAAGGAATAAAAGGTTTGGTTATCAATTTCGTAAAAGCAAAGTCCATCTCCTTCGGTATGTTCAGTCCTCTAAATACAACCTTTACCTTCATAGTGGCACATCTTTCGTTTCCATTCTTTCTCGTCATTCTTATCAATTTGACTATAGGCACTGGTGATGTTAGCATGGCTGATAATTCCTTCATTGAGATCTCTTCCGGTATATTAAAGACTATTCCCGTTTTCGTCAAAAGGTGGGCAAAGATTCTTGGGGTGTAACCTGCACTCTCCAATTGTTTACTATTCACAAAATTATTTGCTGCCGATCTCGATCTGAACGTCACCTTACATCTACTATAACCTATTTTAATAATGTTGTCTATATCTCCTACCTTGAGATCAAGTAGTTTCTTCGCAAGTCTATACTGATTAATTGGTGTTCTTGGTTCCGCTTTCGCTGTGTCCACGTATACAGTGAAGGGGCCTCTATGATCATCCTCATATACTGTTGGCATGTTCTGCGAGACGAAGACCAGCGGGTCCTCAGTTTCGTCTTCCTCTTCATCTGGAATTGTACTGTCACTTTGTTTTCGCTTTCTATTAGGCATGTGGTTTTCAGCAAATTTTTCAAAATCATTGTTCCTAGCATGAAATGATATGTTCGATTCCCCATTCGCAGTTGTGCTTCCAATTATCAACATTTTCTGAGGGGGTCCTGCCCCCCCTGGTTCCAGACGAGGTGTAACCCCGTCCGGGTCGTCCTCCATAATGTCCACTAAAAAGGCACCGTCAGAAGAACAAACAGGTAATACCCACAGATGGAGTAGTAGAAAAGATGACTATAATGAAATCGTCCGTTAATGGGATGAAAATACAGTCAAAAATAATAATCAAAAAATCGAATTTCACACGGTATAAAAAAAAACACAAGTTGCGCGTCGGGCGTTCTTACACCGAATCGAACATTTTATTTTATAGTATTAAATTGCGAATTAATAATAAAAAACAATTATTTGTTAGGAAAAATTTCTTCACACAGCTGTTACAAAAACAACAAATAAAAACATACGAATGTGGTGATGTCAACTCATGCACGTAATAATATAAAATGTTTATATTTTTAGCGATTTAAAAACAAATATGATAATTTCAAAAAATTTATACGAAAAACAAATAATTTTTTGTCTGCTCCAAAATCGGTGTTCCATACACCCCAGAGAAAAAGTCCCTACGACCGGGCAAAACTCGGCTGCACGGAAAATGTGATTAAAAACAATAAAAAAAATTACCACGATAAAAACTGTTTCAGGGGTCTAGATTTGTTCCTAAATATCTAGCCCACAGATAGATGAATTATTATTGTTAATAAATGAATTGGCATCTTGAAAAGTAAAATTGCTTGCAGCATTCATCACAGATGCAATTTTATATGAAACAAAACAAAAACTTGAACGTGTAACTGCTCTACTGTAAGATTATTTCTACAAATATTTGTGCAATGTGCCTTCATCGAGAACTCGCTAGAATTCCTCCTAAAATATATCCGCTAAGTTGTAAAGAAAATCGCTTAATTAACTTCACTTTGCGAAAGAAATGTCATAGTGCCGAAAAATAATAATTCTGTGAATCAATCAACTGGCATCTTTACGAAAAAATAAAAAATAAAATAATTAAAAAAGCCAAATTACAACAAAAAATAATTTTCTTATTAATATTTCGAATATCTATGCTTCTAAGTATATTTTTTGGAAGAAGATTTACGTATTCATAAAAAAATCTGGAACATAATTTGCTCCAGAAGATTATAAGAATGAAGTCTTAAAACAAGTGTCATAATACCTCTTGCAAAATACTGTCATTTTTGACACTTGCATTTTCCTTTTTATGCAAAAAGTCGGAAAAGTGAGAGGACAGAAAAAAGGAGTAAAACTAATTGAGTTTATTATTTTATTAATTCTGTGAAAAATCGAATTAAATATTAAAAATTTTTTTTAAAACAGCGTTTAGCATAAATATTTCTATAGGAATATTGTGAAATTGTAAAGAAGAAATAAATGTGAAAATAACTCCTACGAGAAACTTGTAAAAAGGAAAATACGATAAAAAGCATTTGTAAAAAAGTGTTTGTATAGTAGTAGTTGAAGAAAAAATCGAGTTGGCTCATTGTACAAGATTTTATTGGCCAACAACAACAGGCATTCATCTACAATATAGGGGGGCAGATATTATAGTACTACACTTACGTGTTGCAAATTTCCGAAAATAATTATTATTTGTCTTTATTCAAACAGGTAACCGAAATGAACAAAATAAATAATTGAAAAAAAATCTAAAAATTATTCATGCATTCGTTAATTTTTGTTTGCATGTACATTTCTGTGTTATAAATGAATTTCATTCAATATGTATCGAATATAGATTGCCTTATTTCTATTATCATCAATAGCTCAGCGTCGTCATCATAGCTTACTCGAAAACCGACACCATCCTCAAGATTAATCGTCAGCATGGAAGAGGTCTCATTGACCGAAACAGAAAGCCGTTACTATGGTGATTTGTTCTTATGTTGTGATGAAGAGAAAACGGGTAAAATTCCGATGCTCAAAGCATCAGAATTATATCGTTCTGCAAATCTCTCCAACGAAAAGATACTGGAGGTAAATATGTATAAATTGATTTCGATTTGAAATTTTCGTCGGTAATTTTCGACCAATAAAGATACCTATGCACTGCACAAAAAATAAATCTACAATTACGCGTATGTATAGGTATATATGAATTTTTGACCTTATAAGATAACGTGAACCTGATCTCAGCTATGATCCGAAAAATATTGATTTTTTTCAATAGTCCTATAAGAGTTTTTTAAACTTTGTTTAACAAATTTTAAAATGTTTGGGACATCTCATTTTGTTAAATGAATAAAACGGTAAAAAAGCAGGTCAAAACCTCTTATAGATTGTATTTAAAGGTTTAATATTTATTTTCAATACCGGACTAAAGGCTATAAATTTCTTTCATTTTTATTAAACAAGGCCGACAAATAAGTAAGAATACCAAAACATTACATTTTATATTTTGGGTTAAGATTATCCTATTTGAAAAAACTTCGAGGATATTCATATGTATGTAGCCAGCAGGAAATGGAACTAGTACCAAACTGTACTTTCCTATATCATCATAATGATCAAATTAACAATGAGTGTGTTTGAAAAATTGGACCTAATTGGGTTCTTTAGAACCAGTTTGATATTAGTTTAATATTCATAAAAAGTCTCCATAATTGGTGGTTTTCTCTTTTGCAATCCTCCTTTTTTTCTAAAGATACAATAAAAAATAGAATAAAAAAATATTGTAAATACATTTACCTAACAATTCAATATGAATGTTTGAAGAAATTCTGGTTCTATCCGATCACCAACGTTGATATCTTTGATTTTATTGTGTCCCAAAATTCTATTCAGGTTTCGTTATAGAAACATTTGCCGTACGATAAAACAAATATTAAACTTATTGCAGTTTTTAAATTTAATAGACGCACTTACTTATATGGGGATTTGCTTGCAACCGGACCTAAATTTGCATGCACTATTTATTGTCTCATTTGAAGGAATATGATTGAAAATATCGTTTTTATGCAAAATGTTTCAAAATAATATTTTAATAATTTAAAATATTTATTTTTTTCAACACATGTCAAACAAAAATCAGTCTACAAGTGGCGCCATTCAACTACTCCTAGTACTAGTATTTTTCCATATAATCTCTAACCCAATTTGTACTAGTGTCTGTAGATCTAGTATTAGTACTAGAGTGACATTAAGACAATTATCGAAAAATGCAAAACTTACAAAAATACTTATTTTTCTCAGTTAGAAAAAATTATATAAAACTTTCTTCACCATCGCGAATAAATAATGTCATATTTCGTAACATCTGTTCACGTTCTATAAGGCCTTGTTATAGTATTTTTGATGTTTGGAAAAACTGCTTAAAGTTATAACCCTAATGCATATACACATTTTGGAAAAAAGTTGGTGAACTAGTTAAAAATAGTGGACGTGGCACCTCTCATATAAATTTAATATTCATATTCGTAAATCCGCAAAACTAATAACAGCTAGAGGCCTCAAATCCCAAATTTAAAATTTTTCACCTAACATGAGTTTTATAACTTTTAAAATCTGCATAAGAAAATGCATTTACAAGGATTTTGTTTAAAAATAAATTTTCAAATATTACAAATATGTATATTGCAATTAACGATATTCTTATTAATTAATTCTTATTAAGATAAAAATCTATCCTCTTTTTGATATATACTGCACTTTTTTAGATTACATCTTTAGCTGGAATACCAGACACTGCCCTACATGTTTCCCGTGTACAATTCTATTCTTGTCTCAAGTTAATAGCAGCCCATCAAGCATCGATGCCTTTAAGGCAAGAATTGATAGCCGCATCGGTGCAGTTACCTTTGCCACGATTTAGTTGGGCAGAGTCCTCATCGAATAAAATGGAAATGGCGAATACCTATCAGCAACATCACCACACAATACCTCCACCCCCAGTAACCGACCGAAGAAACTCTTTAAAACGATTATACGAATGGTCCGATGCTAATGCCTTGGGGTCGCGTCGAAATTCGTCTGCTACGCACCAGCCGGAAATATCTGCAGTAAATTCAGATGTACCGAGCACTGATTCCGAAGTAGAACAAGGCGAATCTAGTTGTGGCGGTGAGGAAGGTGTAGCTGGAGTTAGCGGCCATAACAAGGTACATTCTTTATTTATTATACATATTAAAAAGTACTGGTGAAATATTTGCACAATAGTATTTCTTTTTTATAAAATTTATTCAATACATACTTAAGTTTTGTTCACACCTATAAAATATTTGACAAAAAACGTACATTCTATAACTGTAATTGCAAATTATTTCGAACCTAATAATAAATAATAATCATTTGAAGTATAAATACTATCATATTCGGTGTGATTTGCTACATTAAATTTTCCATAAATCCATTTGGCAATGTCAAGTAGGGCTAATCTAACCCCAAGATGGGCACTCATTACGGATGGCACGGTCATACAGGACCAGTAGGAATTAAGCCTGTTGTTCCATTCCGATCTCAGTTGTGCCAAAATTATTCTTGTATTCTGCAGTAGGTTTTTTCAATGACATCCCAGGAGGAACTGTTTTGTCGTGTAGGTGGTGTTCAGAGTTAATTGTGCATGCAACAATCCTTAACAGTCCTTACGGCGGCAATTATTCAAGTCTACTCGAAATTTGCACTCCATTGACTACGACGACAAAAGTTACACTCAAAGCTCTAAAAGAATTCATTCCCTAATTCTTTTTTTGAAATTGAGTTATATTTTAAAGAATTAACAATTCTTCAAACTCATTCCCTTTGATTTAATTAATAGAATTAATTCTTAAAGCTTTCGATGTAGTTGAATTAATTCTCTAATGAATTAATTCCTATAGAATGTTAAATTCCTTCTGAATGAATTAATTTTGTTTGCATTCAATCTGTTACAAATTGAATTAAAATAAATTTCAACAATTCCTATTGATTTTTAAATTCCCTCTGAATGATATAAATTTTGTTTGAATTCAATCTATTACAAATTGAATTTAAAAATTTTTCAACCATTCAATTTGAAATAGATTGAATGAAAGTTTTGTTTTATAATTCAAAAGCATTCTGTATATTAAAAATTGAATTAAATTTTTTTTCTTTCATTCAATTTGTAATAGAAGGAATTAAACAAATATGAATGATAATTCAATTGAATTCATTCCTATAAAGAATGAATTCTCTTAGGAATTACTTCAATGGAATATAAAGCCAAGGAATTCAGCTTTAGAATTTAAATTCAAAGAATGATTTTAAAGAATGGTACATTCAAAAATTGAAAGCCGAATTAAAAATATAAGGGAATTAATTCCAAGTAGAATTCATTCTTTCCAAGCTTTGGTTACACTGAGTGTGGCATGGCTAAACAAAATCAATTTTAAATTAAAATTA